AGAGTTAATACTCTTATCATTGTTTTGGTGTTTATTTCAAATTTGATAATTATTTTTTCAATCATTTGTTTATTTAGATAATGTTTTTTTAATTTTCAATATTTTCTATTATGTGATTTCCATGCTAATATATTCCAAACATATATTACAACTCAGTGCCACTCTATATTTATCGATACAAGCAACGTTCACTTGTGCTGCAATGTAGTGTATATCCTGTCTACGGGTCAAAGGTGAATCTCGCAGAGAGGACCACAGAAAGATCTATGGAGACCTTCAGGAATATTGAGCATAGTCATCACCATGACTAGTGACAAATTATTGTGGGTTTTATTCAGTCAATATTACGAATAAAGTTGACGGTTTATGCTTACTCTCGAGGTCATCACGATTCCATCACAGGGATGGATGAAGTGGAGCAAGTCACGTGGTGTTGTATCCATTGCACCGTGCAAAATACATTACAACTGTTTTATATCATTATTCTTAATCATGGTTGTCATGGCATCACTGATTTATTGTTAATAACACACAGGGCAGCCTCTGGGCTAAGATAATTTTCAGAATATGCTAATTTGATAAAATTGTTAAAAATAACGAAATAATCATGATTCTTGAATGCGTCATCACCAAGTATCACGTGGCATTTCGTTTAAAATTGGTGCCGGTTATTGCTTTCACTGAAATAGCATTTTTCGAACAAAATGAGTTGAAAATTTCAGATTCCAACCTAAAACGAAATCCCTAACATTAATTTAACTTTTCAAGAAATGAAATCACCGAAAATTACCCAAAAATACCTGCATTCAAGATTTACCCTACATTTAGTTAAATATTAAATGACATAGAATAAAACCCGACATTTTCTTGGGAGTACGCCTTCCAGGAGAGATGTCTAGTACCTACGGCGACGTATTTTTTTAATCTCAGTTCAATTCGTAGTTTTAATAAAGAGTGACTCGGACAGACCGTGGTTTAAAGACTGTGATAATCACACATGGTTATAGTTCTAAACTAATTATTTTCAAGTTATTTCTTATACTCATTGAAAGTCGTGAGTCCCGCATCGAATCATACTAATTTAATCTAAATCTGTTCTTTAACAATCGTAGTCTAATTGGTAATGTACTGTTACTGTAGAAAACACAGCTCTGGGTGATACAGAAACAAACTTTCTATTCGTATAGCGTACATATAAAAAGCCGCGGTGTGGTCATCTTTACAAACTGCCTTTGACGTTCATCATTCAATTTCTACTTTTATTTTAAAGATTTTCAATAAGCCTTTCAATCAGATATTTTGAATAAACTGACAGGGGAGACAAATAATGTATTTGCGTGGGTTGAATCCATTACTACTCAGAAATCAGTGTACAATAGCGACTGTGTTTCTTTTTATATTCGGGGTTACAATATATGGCACTCGCTGATATCAATGAATATGTGAACCTTTCCATGAATATTACCGCCCAGATTAAAACCTTTCATAAACGAGCAACGAATATGATAGCCTTGCAGAAACTGCCGGTTTGAACACAATCATTTCTTCGATGACTTTCCTTACTTCATCGCCATGGTTACAGTTTTTAGTTTGTTAATTGTCACAACAGTTTTTTTTATATATCG